GCAACTCACAACTTTTCCAGCAAGTCTACGCAAAGTATGCTATAGGACGAATACCGCACCATCTTTCTTCTTCAGAGCAATCAACTTGGCTTGAGGTTCATCGCCTTTCAACATAATATTGACCAAATATGCTGAGCGATCACATATATTTTCAGCAGTCACACCAAGATATTTTGATATATGTCTTCCAGATGTTGAGGTCGCAAACCATCTAATCCTCCAGCAGAACCATTAGGAAAGGACTTAATTGCATTCAAAATCTCTTTTCCTGTAAATGCATCAAAATCCTGTGAGTTCCATTCAGGATCCTTTGGAAAAATTGCATCTTTCTGTGCATCCGGATGTTTGGATTTCAATGTTTGATAAATTTCTTCAGAGGGAAAAACTACAGAATCATCTGAAGCTAACATTCTAACTGCGCCACGAACATCTCCATCTTCCTTACCTTCAATGATTTGAGATTGTTCTTGTAAATTTTTGGTGTTTTTGATATGATATCTGAAGTCGAGATATCGAGAGTTGAAAGATTGTTCCGTATCAATGTAGAAACTGATATATTCCTCGTTCCAAATTTTGGTAAACAAAATGTCTTATAAGAGAATGAAAGTAAATATGACCAAGCCATCGAGTCATTGATAGAAAGGCAACAATCTATTATAAATGTTAATGTTTCAGCAACTGTATGTCTAACTGTTTATACGACGTTTAATAGTGACCTTTTCATGAAGATTAGTGATGAAAGACCAGGGATTCATGCGTTATGAGGTAGTTTATCAATAGACTCAGGATCTCTAGTATTTTTAGAAGTTCGTTTCTGGATAATTCCTTAATTTTTGAGGCAAACATTGCTTCCATCACGTTTCCTCAGTTCTGAACTACTGATGAAGAGTTTCTCACATAGAGGACATTGGAGAGGTTGTTTTGGTTTCTTCGTAACTGTATCTTCTGACCAGGATGATTCATTATCACTCAGTCTTATTGAAAAGTTTCCATCAAGATTATTTTTGGCCATTATAATTAAGTCAAACACGTCACACCGATTGAAAGACGTTGATCGCGATGGAACAAATCGAAAAGGCAGCTCAAGAAGATGAAGGCCAATTATCGCCAAGGAAAACCTGGAGAACAATATAAAAAATAGTTATCTGAGTTTATCAAATGGTGCAAAGAACGGAACGTAGAAAAATGTATTGAAGAAAAGGTACTGCTAGCATATTTCTTGAAAAAGTCAAGAAAGCTAAAAGCATCGTCATTGTTGGAGCGTATATTCGACAACGGTTACAATTTTACAAAATACTTCAACTGATGAGAATAACATCTGCATTAATCATGATTTATCACTTTTTCACATAGCTAATTGCAATGTGGTGGACATAAATGTCAATATTAATAGAAATTAAGTTGTTTCTTATAGTTTCTGATAAAATTTTTTAAAAAACATTTCTCAATTTAGCTTTTATTGCAGAGAAATTTACTTTCAATCCCTAGGGATTTAAAGTACCACTTTTTCTCCGGAAAAAAAGGATGAAAAAAAGATATAAGGTCCCGTGGTAATAATATTCATTACTACCAAGGTGTGTATTGAATTTTTTCCACCACTAGCAATACATTTTCATTTTTATATGATTTCGTGAAACTGAAATTCAAACCTATTGTCACTACTTATTATTACACGAGAGCTTCTTTTGTCGAAGTAAACTTGACAAGTGTCAATGAGAATATTGTTGCCTGGCAATTCGAAGAAAAAACCTGCCTCTGAAAAAATCACAAGTCCGTAAGACGAGTAATTTTTTCTGTCAGTTTTTTGAGTTGAATTACCTGACTTCGACAAAAAAAAAGCTAGAGTGTAATTCGGTAAGACAATTTAATTCATCAAACAATTGTTTATGGCTGGTATTCATGCTTTCAAAAGTTAGGTTCCGTTATTGTTGCTGGAAAAGTTAGGACAAACTTTTTTCGCTGTCATAATGACAAAATCACGCGGCTTGTGGGATTTTTCATACATGTCACTATGAAAGCCGAGATGAAAGCACTTATTTGCAATTCTAATTGAAATCTAGTAGCCATGACCATGACAGTATATGACAAGTCCTTATAGATAAATACCTACTAGATTCGAGTGACATTTCTGCGAATCCGGCATCAGAACAGTGAATTCAGGTTGATTAGAACAGAGGTGGCTATGTCTTTATTGAGTAGTGGTTCATAAAATGATGAAAAGTACCTTGGTAATAAAAACACACTTTATCCCTCAAAAAGGAGTAAATAGATTGTAGATTGTAGATGGGTCGTATAGGCTGAGAGACCTCTCGATCACTGCGACCTAGAAGATCTATTGTGATTACCCCTATCTAGTTTTGGTCCTCTAACCCTAGACTTCTGATGAAGCCTACGATTTTCCTGACGGTTGACTTTTCCACTTCAGCAGGGGTGAGATAGACCTTTGGCTCGGTTCTGCGAATGGTTAATGAACCTTTTCGCTTGTCGTTGACCTGAAGTTGCTCTCCATTAGGAGGACTTTTCAATTTCTTCCCATTTCCCGAGTTCTCCCTTTAGGTGACATTTGCTTATCCCACAAAAAGGCTCAGGACCAGAAAGTGCAGATGCTGCACCTTTTTTAGCAAGGCGATCAGCTGCCTCATTTCTTTTGATTCCTTCATGACCTGGAACCCACACATAAGTGTGACTTTGTTGCCCTTTCCCAGTTGCATGAGTCTTTCAAACCAGTCCCATGTAATCTTTGATGTGGAAACGAATGATTTTAGGGCTTTTAGTGCGGCTTGGCTGTCTGAGCAGATATATATGTTGGCACCCCTCAGACCTTTGCTCAGGCACCTTCGGGCGCAAAGGTTGATGGCATGTATTTCAGCTTGGAAGATAGTGGGGGAGTGACCTAAGGCTTCAAATAGTCTACATCCGGGTCCATATACACCCGCGCCTACCCCTTCTTCCATTTTCGAACCATCGGTGTACCAAACAAGGGACCCTCTGTCCAGCTGAGGCTCAGCGGAACCGTACCTAGGGCGGCTTTTTATAACCACTTCAAAGGTATGATCGAAACTGAGCCTGGCTGGCATTATGTCCGATGGTTTGGTTGCAGATTCCATTTGTACTTCTTGTAGAATGACCATGTGACCAGTGACATCACCTGGTCAGGCCAATTCAGTGGAGTTCAGTCTGTATGCACTGAGAGCTGCAGTCCTCTTGATAAAAATATGCAAAGGTAGTAGGTCAAGCATAGCTTCCATTGCTGCAGTAGGGCACGTACGCATAGCCCCTGTTTAAGAGTAAATAGGTTTTATAGTTATTGGTGAAAAAAAATATTCATTTAGGTATAGTCTATCCAAAGTCACTTGGGCGTTTGTTAGTTGTACAATAAAATGATGTTCATCATGTACAGGGCGTAGAAAGAATGTTGAATTGAAGAAACCTAATCTGTGAATGTCGGACTCCAAACGAACTTCAAAATTAGCGAAACCCCTCTGCGTACCTAAAGTGTGCTAATTTGACCCCTATATGTTTTTTTTGCCACCCAGAATTTTCGCCAACTCTCTCACACATCTATTTGCTTGCTCTTTTTTCTCTCTCTGCAGTTTTTCTGTGTTTTCACTGTCTTTCAATCAATTAAGCACTTCGTTGCAATATAACAATATATGTATGTATGTATGAATGTGTATGTGTATATGTATATAGTCAAGTATTTAGTGAAACAAAAAATGAACCAAACCTCTTGTGATAAGAATGTAAATTTTCTTCTGATACAATGAATTGAATTGAATTGAATTGAATTGAACCTACAGTGTGCTACAATTTGATGAACCACACCCCTGTACTTTCGCATTCCTAAGGCGATTCGGAAATATTTTTTTCTCATAATATATTACTCGAAATTATCTAAATTGTCGAGCAAAAAAAAATCAATCACATTCTTCTAGCCTACTGCGACTACAAAAACTTCAGCAAATTTAGAGAAAACGGATTAGGCATTATTTTACGAGATTGTTGATATATAAGTAATCAATTTGGACTAGTCACAAATACTCCAATATCAATTTTCGAAACAATATCTCATTAGGGGTGTTTTTTATCGACGTTACAATTTTTTATTAATTGCACTTTTCAAGTCACCGTGTATAATAATTCTTAGAACTTGAATGATATCAGGCATGATGGTAGTCAGGATTAGATCATCTAATCCTGACTAGCATCATGCCTGACATTATTCAAATTCCAAGAATTTTTATACACGGTGACTTGAAAAGTGCCATTATTCAAAAATTGTATAACGTTGATAAAAAACACCCCGTATGAAGTATTGCTTTGAAAATTGATATTGGAGTATTTGTGACTAGTCCAAATCGATTGCCTCTAGATCAAAATTTTTGTGAAAAATTCCTAATCCGTTTGTTTTAAATTTTGCTGGAGTTTTTGTGATCGCAGTTCGCTGAGAAATTGTGATTGATAATTTGTATTCCCTCGAAAAAGTAGATAATCATGAGTATTATACTGTGAGAAAAAAAAAATCAAATCGCATAGGAATACGAAAGTATACAGTGGTGAGGTGGACCAAATTGTAACACACTGTATATGTTTCTTCTCGACGTGCTCCAACTGACTTTGGATCGACTATGACTATACCGACTTTGTTTTTAATTCGAAATTTGATTATTTTTCTTATGTGCCTTCGACAGAGAATCATGAGTATGCCACTGTTTGAATTCAAAGATCGCCCTAAATGGAAAACTAATAAGAATTGAAAACCAACCACGAATTATTTAAATTTTCAAACAACATAATGAAATAACTAGATGCTATCGAAAGATTTCTATTATATATGACTTGGTCTTGGTAGATACCTATACATATAATTTACTAAGCTGTTGATTGTTGAGAATCACCGAGATTGAGAATAAAAAAAGTTCTCAAATGAAGGCGTGGTTCTCACGAGATGATGCATTTTGTCTTAGATCGTGGATGGGTGGTACCTCTCTGGTACGAGTGAAGAATGTAGGTAATCCATTTTTGAAAAAAATAGTTTCATGCACCTACCGAAGGCCATCTTATATTGTTATATAAACTATGATGTTGCTGGGTTATTGTCAGAAGATTTATTCTACCTGTGTGTGAATCAATATTCTAGCGATATGAAGATTCTGGTGAGTACGCCGTTTTTTTTTCAAAAAAATCTCTGACATATTGTCTTTACGAAAATAAAGGGTTGTCAAAAAAATCGGAATTTTGTTTCTGAATAATATATTTTTTATTAATGGACCAATTGCATTGATTTTGGTCTTCTTTGGAAGAGAACTGAACAAGACAAAACGTCAACTCCATATTTCTCGATTTTTTCATATAACAAAAGAAACACCTTAACTTGGATGAACTTGAAAACTTGCTGGAACTTAATTAAGTAGCACTGTACATTTTTGCGTATGATATTCTGAGAGCGCAAACTTCCCTGAACAGAAAAAGAGGTCAAATGACAGGCGAATATGATAGGATAAAGACAGATTAATTTCTATTTTCCTCCATAATTTTGCAAAATCAATTTGTATATAACAAATATCGCTTGTCTTCAGAATTATTTACATTTGTTCATGTGTGTATATTTTCGAAGGGCTCAATTTCAAGATAGTTGTATATTTATCAAAATTTCGATTTTGAGAGTATACGGATTGAATGGGATTCCACAGCAATTTCTGTGGGATGATTCGAAGGCCAGGACTCACAGAAATGGAAAAACTTATTCTCAAACGTTTGTTGTTTTTTCTAAGTACATGGATCAAATTGAATACAGTTTTATCTCATAATTTTCGGGCAAATCTAAATCGATGAAGATATTATCCTTGTTTTCATGTTATTTCTTACAGAAAATTCAGGCCAACGCAAGAAAATTGGAATCCCAGATGTAAAAATACACCGGTTTCTATCCTGTCATAATATGTCAGTTATTTTTTGACGGATTTACATGTTCGACCTCTTGTTCTGTTCAGGACACGATGTTCAGGAAAGTTCACGCTCTCAGAATCTCACATTGATCTCACACGCAAAAATATATACAGTGCGACTCAAAAAAGTTCCAGCAAGTTTTGTAATTCGGCCAAGTCTTGGTGTGTCCTTCATTTTGTTTTATGGAAAAATTCAATGAATATGGAATTAACGTTGCGTCTTGTTCAATTATCTTTCAAACAAGACCAAAATCAATTGATATGGTTTAATAATAAAAAAGTCATTTTTCGAAAACAAAATTCTGTTTTTTTTTTCCAGAAACCCTTTATTTGTAATATACAGAGAACTGCATGAAAACGAGCTGTGCTGTAACTTTATCATTCGAGGTCGAATTTTGAAATTCGATGGGTAGCAAGCATATCAAATTGCTCAAATATTGGCAGAAAATTATTTTTTTTCTCCAAATGACATTGCAAGTGTCTTTTTAATGACACTTTTAACAGGCAGAGAAGGTGTACTTTTACTGCCTAGGCAGAAAAAGGTTGTTGCTATGCAACGTTCCGAAATAATCCGAATCAAATTGGTAATCAAAATTGACACTGACGTTGGGTGAACACAAAATGATGGATTATTAGGATTATTAGGAGATTATTAGGAGACAAAATTATATGTTTCACACGACGGAAAAGCAGATTTAATGCCTTGGCTGGTTTCCTAGCCTCGGCTACGCCGTGGCTATGAAACGCCAGCCGCGGCATTAATTCTTGTGCTTTTCTGCCCAGTAAAACAAATAACTATTTTTAATCACTCCGGTTCAACCAGAAGCAACCCCGAAGTTCTGTTTGTTAAATAGGGCATTCTGTTTATTTTGCCATGTTAGGATTCAGGGGATCGTTTCACATACACTAGAAAATCCTTCAGATCAAAATGTATGGTCGTCTGGCTAGACGCATTATATTGATCTTCAGCTAAGTACCTGTATGTCGTATCACTATTAGCATATCGAATACGGTATACGAGGTTGGTCGAATGTCGAATCAGACAGTAGTTGTTTATTTTAGTGATCAATGAAATGACGTTTTCAAATCACGAACCGTTCTCAAAATTCACAGGCAAAACAGAAATGGCTGGTTTTCTTTTCTTAGCGCTAGCGCTTTCATTCTCAGGAATATGACTAGAGTCTAGCCATAGCACCAGTGCGAGAATATTGCGCCTGGTGCGCAGGTCGCTGGGCGCGAGAAATTGCAGCGAAACAAAAATAAATAAGTCATTGTGAAATGATATTGCGCGTCGCTCGCTGCTCGCTGGGCGCGAAACAAAAACAAATAAGTCATTGTTGTGAAATGATACATTAGACAACTGCTTTCCTAGTTGATACCATGTTACAGGGTGATCCCTAGAATCGTGACACACCTCAAATCAATTTATTCAAATTGAATTAACACTGTACCAGGCGCAATATTCTCGCACTGGTGCTATGGCTAGACTCTAGTAGGAATATGGGATATGTGTTCAAGGAACTTTATTCTCGGATTCAAATATGCTTCGATGTACTGTTCTTTGATTTTCAATTCGTTTCGTTTTCGAGGGTCACCCTCAACTCTACTTTTAAAAAAAATACGGCACCTGTATTTTCTCAAATGAATTCAAGTAGTTATACCTCACGGGGTTCGAGCTCCAAAGAAAATTGAGAAAAAAAATATTGCTAAAAAAGTAAAATCCAATATGATTCCCGAATTGTCCAAATATAGGGTGTCCGAAAATTATGCACAAAAAATCAAGGGGGTGATTCTCCATGGGAAAACATAAAATTTTTCATATATACGTGCGTACGGAAATGCATAGAGTTAAACTTTGAAAACAAAAATCGTTTTTATGGATACCTCGAATATCGTTTCGATGTTTCTCTTGAAATTTGGAAACGATATTCTTTATCATGAGGGGCTGATTTGCCCATAATTTAATTGGAATTATGAAATCCAGTGGCGTCCCGGGGGTACCCTAGCGAATATTATTGTCAATAAAATGTGCGCCACTGATTTTTTAGGATTTTTCATCTTGATACCCTATTGACCAACTAAAAATAGAACATTTTGGTTTCATGAATTGTTTTGATATTTTGCTTCGTTTTCGTGGAAAAAAATTAATACCAATTTATTGTATAACTTTGTGCAAAACATTCCTTCAAAAAGAGGGGTGAAAATAAATGTGTGATCCATGTCCATAGACATAGAATAAGAATGAAGATTCATTTCATTCCATCATTCTATAATGCATGTTTGACACACTTTGTATTATTGAAAACGACTCCATCCTGGACCGAGAATACATAAAGTTCTCAATATACAGAGTGTAGAGTGTGTCAAACATGTATGATGGAATATTTGGAGAAAATGAATCTTCATCCTCATACTATGTCTATGGACATGGATAACGCATTTATTTCCACCCCAGTTTTTGAAGGGATTTTTTGGCACAAATTTATGCAATAACTGGGTATTTATTTTTTCCAGAGAAATGAAGCAAATTATCGAAACAATTCAAGACACCAAAATGTCGTATTTTCAGTTGGCCAATAGGTAATGATGATAGAGAATTCAAAAAATCAGTGGCACACATTTTATTGACAATAATATTCGGTAGGTTGCCCCCCGGGACGCCACTGGATATCAGTTCCTTTTCACGAAGAATATCATTGCCAAATTCAATGAAAATCGGTAGAAGGACATTGGAGATATTCATAAAAAAAACGATTTTTTCTCAAGTTTGACACACTGTTTGATGAAAACTATGCATTTCCGGACCCACGCACATATAAAATGAATTTCTTATTTTGTCATGTAGAATCACCCCCTCGATTTCTTGCGCATAATTTCCGGACACCCTGTATAATACTTCGCATCCGCGTTGTGCGTTGTAGTTCAGTCAATGAACGAGTTGAAGGGGACGTGGAAGTGAAACTTCCAAAAGTCCCCGGACTCACGGTCTTTGAGTTAGTTCTGTGGGACTTACGAGGTGAGTCAATCAACTTCCATACTTTCCCACTTTAAGGATCATCGAAAGTGGAAAAAAGTCCTGTATATTTCAAAAAAGTTTGTCCTGTTCTGGCAGATATTTGTTTTTCACTGTCTACTTCAAAAAAATAACTGATCAAGAACTTAACACCCCAATGCTCATCAGAGCGCGGCACACAAACAGTGAATAATCTTCACGAATATGATATAGCAGTTCATCAGAAGGTACTTGCATGACTTGGAATTTTAATTGTACTAGTGGGAATGCAGGTATACTTCACAAATGCTAATCATGATGAATAATAATATATCGGAGATGTCCGAACGGAGAAAAGATGTAGGTATTACTACAGGTGAGCTTTCACCTGCACCAATCAGCTTCATATATTGTCTTTATCCATGAGTACGCTCAGAGCTCAGAGTAAGTGATTTTGTCTCAACAAAATAATATAATAATGATGACTATTCGTTAACCTATCACTAGCTTAGTATTCACTAAACTAAAAAGAAATAAAAAAATATAGATTTGGTTAATACCAACAAATGTCCTCAGTTACAGCAGAAACATTTCTTCAGAAATATCATTATGCCTTTTTTTTCTCAATGTATTTCATTATATATATATATAAATTTTTTTGTGTTCATAAATATATCTGAGAATATTCCTTTTCAATACTTCCACTCAATCAAAGGGTTCAAACTTGAACGATGGAAACTTGTTAAAAACCTCAATCGCAGATTCGTGATTAGATTTTCTCGATTCAGAATTTCTTTCCACGTCCTGTATTATGGATATCAATTTATCATACATCCAAAAACAAATGCATCTGGACAGTGGTTATGTCAACAAATTCTAATTCTCAGATTCCAGTTCGTTATAGTTTTAGTTATATTATAGGAAGATGAAAATTGTGTATATCATGAAGAATGGCTGAAAGAATAAATGGACTCCAGGTTACTGATGAGGATCTGATATCCGAAATGGGTTTTACTCGAGTGAATTACTGATATTTAAATACTGTCGAAATCATGAGAGTAATCGGATTCTATCAGAAGTGCCTTTTTTGCAGTAAACAAGTAACGCAATCCAAATTTCATATAAACTCCTCTCTTTTCATTGGCTCAGAAGTATTAGATGTTCATTTACTGAAAGAATCGAGTTCTACGCCCACGGAATGATATACATCATAATCATGATAGGTAAATTCAGGATTAATTGATGAAAACATCCTGTACCTCATTTGATTGCCAACATCACCAATTATTGGCACTGAGAACTGAAAAGTGTCAGGACAAAAACGAATTTGCCATACAAAATAGTTATTTATTATACGAGGGAAAAAAGTAGTAGATTTTATCTCCAGGTTGTGTTGTCTCCCGACGCGTAGCCGAGGGAGACAAAAAACCATGAGCTAAAATCTAATATTTTTCCCGTGTATAATACACTATTTTTTTCTGTGACAGAAGGAAGGACGAATCAATATTGAGAAGATATTACATTATTTCGAAATCTGAAAATTATCGACGTGAAATTTCAAGTTTTTAACAGTAGGGACACCTGCGTTTTATAGACATCTTTATCATTCTTTTGAAGTAATCAAATATCTGATGTCACTTTTGTCAGGTCAATTCTGTGATTTGATTTTGAAAAATTGCGAATTCAGTAGTACGAAACCCCGAAGTCGAATGGAAGATAAAAGGACTTGCAGTTCTTTCTGGGAGACGGTATTATTGACTCATTTTTCGGAACTATAGCACAACAAAAGCCATTAACAGAGTATATATATGTGATATATATCCGGGAAAAAAGTACTCACTTTTTTCCCACGGGAAAAAAGTAATTTATGAAAAGTGACATTTTATAACCTGCCAACAGAGATGAAATGCCAAACTTTTTTCCCGTCACAGAAAAAAATCCATTTTTTATGTTGAAAACGGGAGCAGATTCGTTCCCGAAACGTCCAAAGATAAATAAAAATTTGATATTTTCTCTATAAACCTTTTTCAATACAAATTGTCACTGACAAGGTAGTGAATTTTTCTTTAAGGCTCTCTAATGGGAAAATTCTTTAAAGGCAGTGACATTTTGGGGCAAATCATCTGATTTGTGCTAACTACACGTATATTGAAATAGTATTCATATTTTCATTTCATAGAGACGAGGAGAATAAAGCTATGCCATGCCAACGTACCAAATTTGAGTAAAATCTCATGAGCCATGTCAAAGTTGTGAAGTATCTCAGGGGTGTGTCTGGTTCAACTCAGTAGAAAAATGCTCCTAAGATTTCAGATCTTTATTTAGACTCCAGAAACGGTATGCAGTAGGAAAATACATAGAGGCGGAGGGAGACAAGTTGTTTAGTCTCGTGACATCCAAATCTAAAAAGGGCATAAATAAACACTCTTATGTCAGAACTAGTTTCACTTGCAAACAATGAATCCAATGATACAATATTCGTCATGCATGGCAAATCATAGGTGACGTTTCACAATTTATATAAAATGGGTTTCACCTACCTACCTAGAAAGGGCATAGGCGAGAGGCCCAGCGCTGCCAGGAGCGTAGACGCTTTAAAAAAACAAAAACACCCTTTGCAAACTGGATGCACAACGATTTATAATTTATACCTTCCTTCCAGTTTCAATATTTGAGCATCTCATCTTCCCCTCTCAACAGTAAGAATTCAAATAACCATGGCTTCCTTTCGAAGTTTTGTCATTGACTGCCCGATTGAAAATAGGCATGCGATTCAAATAAATGACCCTGGCTCAACTCACGATTATTCGGCCGTGTATGCCTGGTTGCCGCAATTCAGATACGATATGTTACAAAATTATGAAGCAAAAACGATCTGAAAGTTGCGAATTCAGTGCCGTCTAGAGCCCAAAGTGAACAACTTTGTACTTTATACAAGTTTGCTTGTATAGAATTGTTTTAGTCTGAGGAATATGTGGTAAGTAATTAAGTTTCTGTAAAGACCTTTTTTGGAACCCTGCTCTATTCAAAACGAACATCATCATCAATCAATGTTGCTGGGGTAGCAACCGGGTAGGATTTGGATGGGAGAAATGGAGGATTTGGATACGCCAAATCAGCGCGCTAGAGCCATCTCCGTTATGTAACGGCATGTTCTCCTGCTACCATTTTATTATACCATTGGTGAGGCCGTTGGATAAAACAGACTACTGGCTCTGCACTCTGCAGTGTCAGTGCTCGAGGCAGGCAAGATATCCTCCCACTTGAACCATAGTGAGATTCTTCTTCACCCCCTCTACCGTAGTCTGGTGGTGTTTTTTGGAAACCGCTGCCCCCTGGAATCCAACCAAATTGGTAAGGCATTAGGCCGTATTTACGACCTGATGGAGCTATCCTCATCACCCCAGGTACCCATGTCAACAAGATTCCTCTTGTTACGTTTGATGGGTTACCGTCGCAAGGGGCTTTGGCCGGATTGCTACTCATATTGACAAGAATCCTCTCGTCCCGTTGAATGAGTGATCGTTCGAGAACTTTTACACAACTGTGTTTACACCTTCCTCTACCTCGTTTACAGGAGAGGACCCGGTTTTGCCTACAATGACTGGTGATAGGATCGATTGGGGCCGCCCCCTCCCTGACGAACTAAGGCACAACGTACACCAAAGTTCCATTATTTGCTGAGCAAGGCCAGCTACTCATGTCGACCGGAATCATCCAGTCCCGTTTGATGGATGTCCGGTCGCGGCCATTCACACGTACCGCTACCATGACAAGAGTGGGGACCTCAAGCTTTTAACCAGAGGTGCCTGGAATCACCTGGGGCTACCCCCACTCGACGCCGTGAGTGCATGGTGGGCCCAGGGCCGATTCTAAACGAACAGAGAGAACACATCTATCCTGTTTCAGAATACTCTAACAACACAGGGATGTCCTAGGTACTTCCCTTTTTTGTCTCGCGGTACAAGGACATGATTGGGGCATCCTGGGTATGTCCGGCAGTGGTTATCCAGTGAACATCCTGCCCGGTACATCCCTAGGTTATCCTATTTGTGTTTCTGGAATATCTGATATCCATTCACATCAGAGTCATCGAATTTCATCAAAAGATTGAGTTGAATTTTTTTGAAAATGTTCGTTTTTCTTCCGGAAAATGATTGTAATGAAAAACTAGAATAAAGTCTCAGAACATTTTTTCGCAAACAGAAATTGTAAGTGCATAATGTCCTTCATTTTTAAACACCCAAGAATGATAATAATCATACCCAAATCCTAACAAAGTTGTATTTATTCAGGTTTCTGTAGTTTAGTCCTGTTTATAAATCTGTTTAGTTCATAAATCTTGATAAGGCATATTAGCCAATGGAGTAAGATGGGTCAGGGCCTACTCTAGGTGAGATAGAGTAGGCCCTGGATGGGTGCCTGATAAGCTAAAAAAAAAATAACCCCCGCCCATTGGGTACACTTAGTGTATAAAGTGTATAAAGGGCCATGCCCTTTAGGAGATCGGCCTCTGAGACGAACGCGTTGCATTGACATCCACATCCCCTGGACAACACCAGCCACCTCGGTACAGCTCGGAGGACAGAACAGGAGTGATTCGCTCATGTACCCTTCATGGGACTCGCTCTCTTACAATATCTGTGATGTGTGATGTAATAAAAAATGTAATGTATCTATGTGTTGGAAGAATAAACATACTTTAAAGTGGTCCCGGGTTCAATCCCTACTCGACCTACATTTTTTTTTGTCGAAGAGGGATGTCCCTGGAATATCTTTGGGACGTCCTAGGGATATCCTTTCTTTGTACTTGGTAAATCCCAGGGACGTACCAGGAAGACATACCTTGGATGCCTTTTTTGTCGGCCAGCGGATGTCTAGGGGACGTCCCTAGTATATGTACTTTGTCCCGACAAAGGATATCCCTGGGATGTCCTAGTGTAAAATTAGGGACGTCTCTGGGAAGTCCCTAGGATGTACTTGTGTTGTTAGGATATGTATCTAAGTTCTCTCTTCCAGATTCTCTCGATCATCGCCGCCGCAGCCACCGCCGCCCCTGGGGGCTTCCCAGCGGACGCCGTCGTCTCCGGGCCGTCCGGTGTGGTGACCGCCCACGGCGCGATCGGCCCCGCCGCCCTCGGGATCGGCCCATACGGCGCAGGGCACGGCGCAGGGGCGTACGGCGCAGGGGTGTACGGCGCGGCGCCGGCCGTGTCTCATGCCTCGGTAGTCGGCCCGGCGGCCGGATATGGAGCCTATGGAGGTAAGAATGATTATTCCACTCATTTCAAAATACAAGTTTCTGATTGGTTGAAATACTATCTGTGTTGATAATCGGAAACATTATGTACTGGATACCTACATGGCTCAAGGTTAAGAAGAGATAGGTTGTCTCGTTCCTTCCAACCAATCAGCGGGATAGCGTCATCCAGAGTGATGTTGTGAAATATCACTATAGACTTTTATCTTCCCCTTCATAAACATAAGAGGTTAGAAATAAAAAAAGTCCTAAACACTGAATATAATAGGTAGGTATAATTTATATGTTAATATATATACGAGGTGTTTTTGAAATGCATGCACATATTGATCGACCACATGAATATGAGGAAATATAACTAATATTCTCAAAATATAAGATTTTATCGGATTCTTCTAATCAACGAGAAATTTTATCTTGAAAATCAAATGAAAAATAGTAAAAAAAAAGTTTGCCACTCAAGGACAATTTGAATAATTGAATTTCCCGTAATTATGTCTTCCTCACGGTAATTCGTACAGAGGTGATGTCATAATCTTCACAGTGTAGAACTTTGAATGGAAAATGGACTCTCACCCCGAATTCTATTTTGATGTCAAAATATTTTTTTTGATGTCATTCGATCAACCTTCATCCATGACTTTGATTAATTAATTGAGATAACATATATCAATACGAAATTATTATTTCAGTTTGAATGATAGTTACAATATATAGGTAGGTATTTTTCCCTGTTTTTTACCAAAGATTCTCAATATGAACTGTATTTGAATGTATGATAAATTGATATTCATCATACAGGACGTGGAAAGAAATTCTGAATTGAGGAAACCTAATCACGAATCTGCGATTGAGGTCCATAAAAATAACAAGTTTCCATCGTTCAAGTTTGAACCCCTTGATTGGGTGCAAGTATTGAGAAGGAATATTCTTAGATATTTTTATGAACACAAAAAAATATTCCTTTTCATGAACTGTATTACCTCTAATCATGTCTATCTGCTGATCCCAACACAATATCATACGTAGTTTATACAACACCTTTTGATGGCGCAAAGGCACAGATAGGTATACCAATAGTTTTAATAATAACAACCCTAAAAAAAACTTCCACAGCCTGGTTCACTATCTAGAATGAGATTATCATGAACACAGATTAACAAAATGTGACAATAAACCAATTAAATTTCAGTCACTAAAAAAAGAGATGGAATGTAGTAAAACAGTGAAACCTATACAGGATCGCAGTACATGATTCAATGTAAACAATATGTCTGGCACTCTCGATGACGCGCCTATCCCCTCTCTCGTCGCACACCGCGCAGCAACGAGACAACCTCTCTTGTTTTCGCTTTTGTATTTCGCTTCCTTATTGGTAGTTTGATCAAATATAAAACAAAATGACTCACATGCAGCAGGATGTCATGGACATATCATATCAATCATATCATGGACATGTCATAGTATTCTCATATTCAGGGATAAATAGCACTCATCGAAGCAGTGCCGGATTTATACTCCCTTACGCCGGGGGCTAACTTTTACGATGCCGCCGCGCCGCCGCCAAATATTTAATTTTCAATTATCAGTTTCAAAATTCAAATAATCCTTTCACTACTTCTTTAACAGCATGAAACAATAACATGAAATCATTTTTGACAACGAATCAAATTATATTTACTTCACACGTTAAACATAACAACAAACAACAAATATTTTTTTCAGATGAATACTAAAATACTTTTCTTGATTTTTTTGATGCAAAGTCGTCAGTGGCATCATCAAAATTCAGATTTAATAACATGTCACTGTTAATATTTGAAATTGATACCATGGAATTCCGAAGTAAGTTTTTCACTCTTTTTAAAGTTGAGGATGACCTTTCACTACGGGCATTACGAATCATCAGGGATAGTAAAAAAATTCTAAGAAATTGCCAATAATCAATGAATTAGGAATTTGTTGAGATTATCCCTAAAACAACACTTAGTCGTGTTAATATTTCGATCATTCATTTTTGAGATTCTAACTCTTCTTTTTCGCGTATTGAATGTAAAAAAATATAAAACTTACCATTCCCGTCTTGAGATCGTGAAGTTGTCGGAGACGGTTCTGTCAGTTCTGATTCTGTCTCATTTGAATTTAGAAAAAATTAATGTATTTTAGAGCATTTCTTGACAATTTCGTCTAACTGCTTTTGTCTATTGATCTTTCTGTCGTTTCCAGAATACACCACCTTCTTTTTCACGCATTTTTTTAAATTTAAGTTCCAATATTTATTTATTATTGATACCATTACCAACGACAACCTATTAAATACTGAACTCTGATTTTGTTTTTTGTTATTGAGCGGTTTTTCTTCACATCATCATATAAAAGTATGTACCGCCGCCGCTTTTGTATTGTAGCGTCCAAGAAACAACTGATGCTAGATTTGTGCATCTTATGATTTTCAGAAAAACAGTATCTCAACCAGTCAATGACTGTATTGCTGCTTGCTTTTCCTCTTTTCTCTTTTTCTCTACCGCCTCTTGAAATTCACCGCCGGGGGCTGATAGTCCCATAGCCCCCCCCCCTAAATCCGGCACTGCATCGAAGAGTTTCAGACCAAATTTTGTATGATGGGCATTTTCATAACCTAACCCGAGGGACATTTAAATGAGGAATTTTGGTGTCACTCATTTGGAATTACGAGAAATTGCCGAGGAATTGAGAGGAATATTGCGAGGCATTACATGAATTATGAGGAATTGTGAGGAACTGTGAGAAATTGTGGGGAATTGTGAGGAATTGTGAGGTATTGTGTGAAGTTGCGAGGACTTTTTGGCATTTCAGAACAAATAGCGCATGCATGAAGAGTTCGATTACGTCACATCTCGCGTGTTGTCTTAACGAAAACATAAATCTTCAGTAAGTTCAGTGAACACAAGCAAGAGAGAGAATACCACGACATTCATGTGTATTATACGTACAATGAAATTTCTGGATAAATAACTGCAACTGCCTAGGAATAAGCCAGACATCAGCATCAGAGGTAGACAAAATGTATCCCCTTCTGAATAAATTGGCCCATTCGAATTGAAACAGTTGATTTACTGAGCTCCCATGCTGATAATGATGAACCCTAACCGAAGATGGAAGATATATTGAAGAAAAATTAAGCGACATTATCTGGGGGTGTGGCGAGGTTAATCCCTAATAACACACTTATGTCCCATGGATATCCTAAAGGACGTCCTGTCGGGACATTCAGGACGTCCATATAGGACGTTCGAATTTGGTACCGGGGACGTCCATTGGACGTCTGTGGGACGCACAAATGTCACACTTGAGGACCAACTAGGGATGTCCTTGAGGAATGCCCCTGAGACGACTATCGAGTACCTAAATCCTACAGTATTCCTCCTCAAGCACTACAGAGGACATCCTTAGGACATCCATAGGACAATCTATCAGCAACGCTGGGGGATATCAATTGGATGTCCATAGGATGTCCCAGGGACGTACGAATTATTCTTGAATTTGAATTTTTCTGGGTCCCTCTAGGACAAGATCTTGCATAACTGATTAGGACATCCAGTTGTGTTGATGGTCCGTAGAAAAGTTTCCCAACAATGTCCAATGGACTAACGTGAAGGACATTGACAAGGAGTACTTATAGCCTACGAGCAATCATTCGTCGGCGAGGTGTAAGTTAACGTCCTCGCAGGGACAACATATTGAAAGTACCGCCTGGGACGTCCATAGGACGTTATTTCTGGGATATTGGAAGAGTACAGTTCATGTACCAATCGGGACATCCGACGGATATCCCTAAGGGACATTCGAAGGATGTCTCTGAGGGACATTTCGATTGTTATACGATCCTGGAAATATTAAGGGCGTCTGTGCAGAGATATTTGAAGGAATTTACCATCAGGGACATTTCATGGTTGGCTAGGAGGGACATTATATAAGATCTGAAGTCATGCCAGAATATGTACTACTCGGGACATCCGATGGATGTCCCTAAAGGAACGTTTAAAATCATATCCCATCAGGGGCATGTCAAGGACGTCCTTGCATAGACATTCTACAATATGTACCACGTGGGACGTCTAAACGGGATGCTATTTCTAGGACATTTGAAATGATGGATGTCCTTGCTCGGACATTGCATGAGATGTACGGGATGGGACGTCCCAAGGGCACTTATTTTTGGTTCGGGACATTCGGACGTGAATCGTACCAAATAGGGACGTCCCTAGGACGTTGTGTGCTATTAGGGATGTCACCCCGATGATACCTATGACGAATTGTGTCCCCTTGTATATCATTTTCGAGAAATATTATGGTTTCTCCTAGAAATAATTATTTCACGAGATATTCAGGATTTCGTTTTGTTTGATCTCTCTGTATATATAGGTACCGGGCGAGGTACCAGGTGATTTTCCATAGTGGCTCACCCCCTCGCTCTCTAATATAACTCTTTTATTATTGAAGATAGTGAAACGAAATTCGGGGGGTTGTGAATGATAGTTCCATTGACATTCTGTAACATACCCACTTGCTTTGGAAATGTCCCCAATAACTTTTGATTTTTAAATTGAACACTCTGTATTTTATACCATCATCGGTTAAGAAACATTGTTACGAATTCAAAGATACCGGGTTTGATAGGGTTATTTCGAATGATTACGAAGATATTGGCATTCAAATGAGTTTCCATATTTTACGCTCAATGGGTGTGACGGCGCAATATTGAAACTTCTTTCTCTCTCACACTCATTGAGCATATTATTGAAGCTCGGGAAATTACCCGGTAATCGGTATATACATACCGAGATACACATTATATACTAAATGCTAGGCTACATGTATCTTTTAGAATATAACACCTTATACAGGGTGGCATTGAAATAAGTGCAAATATTTCAAACACTGAGAAAGCTCGACGTGTACTATCGAATAGCACTATTGAAAAAAATTTAGGGATCAAGATAAAATGTGAGTTTAGACGCCTT